CCAAGAACTGACCATCCGAGGAGGGATCATTACACATAGCTAGGACTCCAGACTATGCTTGAGCTAGTCCATCCTGTAAGACTAGCTTCAGCCTGCACTGAAATATAGGAAAAATATCTGCTGCCTCGCCGAGTAATTCATCTCCCTGTCTTTTAAGACTTCAGATCATAAGTGGTAGGGTAGGAGAGCTGATTGGAGGAGGGATGACTGGTTGCTGAGGAGAAGGTTGAAACTCACGCAACTTGGTAAGTACAATATTAGAATCATAGAGGATTAGACCAGTTACTCAAAATGAGGAGATAATTGTTGATTTTTTGAATGTGTACTGTTGAATAGAATCAATATGGTCTAAGAATTCTATTTTGTCAAACTCTCCACACCTAGTACGAGTTGCCTCTTCTACTGCCTCCGCATGGTAATGCTTATATGGTTGAAAAACAATCACATCTAAAGACTGCAACAAGTGGCTCATATGAGGGGGTAGGCAGAAGACAACAATCTTATGTACATCGTAGTAGTCAATAAACCACTTCGTATAATATAAGCCAAAACCATCCAGAGGCAGTAAATGGTATTCTGCCACTTGACGTTGAGCTGAAAACTTTTGAAAGTAGGCTTACCATATCATCAATACATAGTTGTTACTATAACCAGTCTCAGAAGTACCAATCAGGTAGTTGTTAGGTATTGAGGTAGCTGTGTACCAAGATTCCTGGTGAATAACACCAGGAATAATAATCATGGGAGGTAGAACATACCCATTGCCACTAATTGTTTCACAAACTGAAATTAACTGACTATTAGTGGAGCTGCTCAGATATGTTTGACAATTTAGATCTCGGGTTATATTCCACTGGTCACGTCCAATGCCTATACGGAATCCAGTTTCATCAAAATTATATATATCCTCCTTTCGAATCTGATACTGACAACAAACAACATGGTACTTCTTAAACTAGCTTTGTATATCATCTGGATAATGGGCATTCTTGCGATCAACGTCAATAGTCTTTTGCTTGCGCACATAATACTCCGGATGACGATCAAGAAATCTCTGAGCTAAATGTTTGCTGACTGTTGGTGCAGGCAATGCTCCGGTATGAGCATTTTGTAGAATTTTATTGGCACATCTTGATACCATCTGGAGCCTGGCACTAGTTCCAATATTGTCAAGCCTGTCCAGATACTGACATACAGCAACCTCTTAGTCTTCTGTAAGCTTGAGGTTTGTAGCTGGATGCTCCAACTTTGATTGTCGACCCTGTCAGCATGCACGAAGTCATTGTAGTGGAATTTTATATCTCATGGCTGTGGATGCAAGGTCAGGATTGTCTTCACCAGTTGTATGAAGAAAAGATATAGCAGTATGAATGCGGGCTTCAATATCAATATAAGGTTCACAATGTTGACTTGAAGGAATAAGCCTCTGCTCTGATGCTGACTGCATAAGGGATGGAAACTTGAGGAGAAATCTACTAGGCTATACTATGTTAACAAGTTGGAGAAATAGAGAGTGTGGGGGAGTCTATACATAATATAATAAGAAATTGGCAGAATAAGTAGAAAAGCGAGTGTGAAAGTATTGGTGAAAGTAAATAGTACAATAGTAGAGACAGTCTGTAACGATCCCTCTTCAGATAGTTAGTTCTTGGCGACGGGGAACGATACTTATCTTTTCTTTCCCTTTCTTTCTTTGTCTTACGATAGCCTTAGGCCTCTGCCTATGTTACCGATAGTACAAGACCTTTGTCTTCTATCGGAAACACCTATCGTAAGCTTTCTCTAACTCGTCTTCATAACGAGTACTTCTTGGCATAATGATAACGTTGCAATAAGGATAAAGATCGTAAAGGTGTTTTATATTCGTTAAAGTAATATGTAGGAAAAGTACTTAGAACAAAGCGTGAAGAACCTATCTTCCTCGGCCGCATCGGCCTCCTTATATAGTGTTCTTCCCACCTTTAGTCATGTGACCTAAAGTGGTCACATGTGCGAAACTAAATCACAACAAACTAGTCATGTGACCAAAGTGATCACATGCGCAAAACCCATAACCTCCTAGCGAGGTTATGTGCTAAACTCATAAACCAATCATAACGCAATAAACAAGTCATATGACTCGACTGAGTCATATGCACGAAACCCATGACATCATAATGAGGTCATGTGCAAAACATAAATCATATGCGCAAGGCTTGCCTATAAGGCACACTCGTAAGGCATACTCGTCAGGCACATGTCCCATGACTCATACTTGAGCCATGTATGAAAGCATCACAAATCCCACACATAACTAATCATATAACCCGAATAGGTCATATGCATGAAACAATAACATACCTGTGACTCATAACCATGTGTCACGTGAAAAACCCTTTCCTCACTAAGCCACGTTCGTGACACAGTCTATCATAAAATTGTAAAGAGGAGGAGTGTGAGAGTGTAAGAGAGAGGTATAAATAGACAATTGAGCAAGACAGTCAGGATATAATTAGCATGGTCTTGGTGAAAGATACTACAATAGAATTGGTTAATCTACAAACTAGGTAAGCAGTGGAATAGTATATAGAATGCTGATAGTTCATTCACTTCAGATTATACAATAATATTAAAAACTATATTTCTATAGCAATCAGCAATGGGCTATTAAGCTATAAAAACCCATTGGACAAACAGTCACTCACTTGCAAGTACTCACAGTGGTGAGCCAGCAAATTGATATGAGTTGTGGCTGTGCCACAACTTTGACCCAAGTAGCAGAATTCTCAATATAGTAGATTCTAATGAGAATTATGCTCTATTCTAATTCATCTCTCTGTATTCTTAATTTCTCATGTGCTGCTGAATAGTCTTATTGTGTAAAGTTAGGGTGTTGCCATGGCAACCAGCAATGGACCGTTGAGCTGTCAAGAACTATTGAGCTGT